CATATAGATGCCTACACTATCTATTAAGTGATAGTACTGCGTCAAAAATCCAGATTTCCACAAGAGAGGAGACAGAATAGAAGTTGACAGGCTAGTGCAGTGGCCAAGAACTAACACCCCTCCCCCAAATCTTTTCTGATTGACTAAATTAACCCTCACTAATATGGTATGCGACAATTAAACAGCATTAAAAAAAAAAAAAAAACTGAATCACTTGTAAGCCCTTAGCAATATTTACAAAAAATTCCAAGAATGCCAGAAAGTTGGGTATTATCAGAGGTACATTATTGAGGTTTGCAACTACGGTGACATGATACCAAGATCTGGTTACAATCTCGCTCTCGCATAAGTATTCCAACTCAGAAAAATGCAAATGCGCATGCCCGAGGTAACTCGGATACTGGGATGTCCAGGTGGATCAAAATATCTGCCCACGATATGACGGATTACGAGAACTATATTTTCTGTACATTTTCGATGTATTATATTTTTCACTTATGATAGTGACAAGAAAAGTTTTATTTTTTTCATTACAAACCTTGAACATTGATATGCGTCATGTCAGAAGGTCGTAGCCTCAGTCTCGCTATCTACGAGAAGAGACTTGAATGGGATCTTGACATGTCACCATACAGTACTATGCGATTTGCAAACCCCAAGTAATGAACCTCTGGTATTATCTAGAAATAGTGTCTGGTATAGTCTACATTTATTTGGATCAAGCCAGTAGCTAGTACTGTTCTCTTGATACACAATGTGGACATGTTACACATCATGCAGTGGTGACTAATATTATAATTGTCTAATACTCAGATCAGACTACTCTTGTGATTTCTGATTTTTGTGGAGGCTGGGAAAATCATGTTAGAACAAAAACTGCTTGACACTAGGTGGCGCTGTTTGTGAAAATACATTATCGGGTTTTGTCACAGCTAAAACGCAAGACTGTTTCAACTAGTCATCGACAAACATAATATCAGATGATGCGATTCTGTAACAAATATGCTAAATTTTTATCTCAACTATTTAAGTGCCCAAAAATGGTTGGATTGCAAAATGGTATTAGAAACGCTTGACAGGTTTATTGTTTATTGATCAAGATATGTCGTGCTGAGAAAATGTAGAAACTTAAATAAACATGGAACTCCTGCCTGGCATTGAATTTCCTGATATTGACCTTTCTGTTTTACATTCTTCAATGTCAATGTGACCAGCATTAGTGGAAACATTTAGGAGATTCAAGCTGAATTGATCATCAGACAAAACAGTTAACATTTATGTTTGTTTAGTTCGGGTGAAACTTCAATAATCAATGTAAAATATTGCAGAATATTATTATAGTCCATCAATGCACGTCTCAAAGCAATGATGAAAAGGCATGATCTATTGAGCCTCTGGGTTAGATAACGCAAAAGTAACCTAACATTTTCAGATTTTAAATTGGAATATTGGCATAATATTTAAATCTCTAATAAAAACAGACATTTATGAGTAAATAGACAGGGTCATATGTTAGGTCACATGACCTATGATGATGTTTCTAAATTTGCAGATATGTAGGAATGAATTTTTGTTGAAACAAAAAAAAATTATTTATCCAGCTGTCAGATGTTTGTATAGTTTCTCTTTCACCTCGGGTATTCATTTTGACTTGTTATTAAATAAATTAGGAAAAATGACTTTTGACTTTTAACCAAATTTTGTTTTAAATTAGCTTAAATCTATATTTATATTTATTTTGGTAGGGTTTGGGAATACAGGTTTTAATTCTTGGTATTGTGTTTCCAAAACGCATATTAATGTGACATAGTTGGGATCCCCAGCCTGGGGATACTTGCTACAATTTACCCCCTAATTACCTTAAAACTGTATAAACACTTTATGTAAGTCTTGTTTTCATTTGACCGCTCTAAGGGAGCAAGTCAACTTCTTACTGCCTGGGGGAGGAAGTTGTGTCTGGGATAGATTAAGTATGAAATTGAAGGTTTTGAGGAAAATTAGAGCTAAATAACTTGTGTATGTTTACCCTACATGCGTGTCGCTCTCTGAGAGTAAACACCTTGTCAGTGTACTATGCTAGTGAGGCAAATTAGTAAATTAGCTTTGAATACAGAAATAAAATGATCACTGACACATGGCTTACACATTTCCATGCATTGAGTTGGATACGAGTCAAAACTGCATTTCATGGCATTAGCATAACAGAAAAGTCATTTGTGTTTTTTAACCTTTGAGTTGTAATTAAAAAACAAAAACTGCAATGAATGTACGTGTGAATCATTAGTCCTGG